TGCTGCCAACCTAATTGCTCTAAAATTCAAATCTGATTTTACACTGTTCCATATTTCCCCTTACAGTACTGGCACCCTGTAATACTATTTGTTAATCTGAAATATTACTATATATGTATATATATACAGCTACATATGTATATGTACATATATAGGTATATATATATGATACACATATACATACATATGTATGTATATGTACATAAACAAATCCACTGCCAGCAAGTCCATTTCAACTCATGGCAACCTCATGTGTTACAGAGCAGAACTGCTCCATAGGGTTTTCTCGGCTGTAATGTTTATGAAAGCAGATTGCCAGGTATTTCTTCCATGACATTGCAAGATGTGTTTGAACTGTCAACCTTTAGATTAGTAGTGGAGCAAAACCATTTTTGCCACCCAGGGAGTATATAAAAATTCTTTGTCATCGAGTCAATTCCAACTCATAGTGACCCCATAGGACACAGTAGAACTGTCCCATAGGGTTTCTAGGGAGTGGCTGGTGGACTCAAACTGTCAATCTTTTGGTTAGCAGCCAAAAGCTTAACCACTGTGCCAGCAGGGCCGCATATATATATATATGTAAGTATGTATGTATGTATATATTCCTAAGTTTGTATGTAATATGTATGTGTGTGTGTGTGTGTGTGTACATATCCTAAATATATACCTATAAAACCAAAAAACCAAACCCTCTACCGTTGACTTAAAGCTGAGTCAAAGTGACTCCACAGGGTTCCCAAGGCTTTAAATCTCTGTGGAAGCAGACTGCCACATCTTTCTCCCACGGAGCTGTTGGAGGTTTAGCACCAACGAAGTTTCAGTTAGCAGTCAATCAATTTAACCACTGCGCCAACAGGGCTCCTCAAATATATACCTATAGGATACTGTTAATAAATATATTAACATGTTTTATCACATGTTCTGAGTGCTAGTTTATGCTTATTCACATTCTACTGCAGTATTCTGATTTGACTATATTATGAAATGTATGTTATTCACTGGTGTATCTTCTATCCATTTATTTTATGTTTTGGCTAAGTTTTGTCTAACAATGAACGATAAAAGATGGAAATGACAATACTGTCTCTATCACAAAGAAACAAAGGGGGGAAATGGGCTCATGTCAAAATTCAACTTGTATCTTGATTCCTGCATCTTCAAGAAAATAACTAACGAAGCAAAAGATAAAACTCATTTAGAGATTGATATAAATCCTTTGATATTCTAAAGGGTATTATAAATATAACCACAGGCTATGAAGTCTGACCAAATATTATGATAATGACAGCTGGAAAAAACTGTGGTCAAGGGCATGCATTGACTACAGGAGATTGAAGAGAACAAAAGAACAATCGCCAATTGAAAATCCACATGCATCTCCACGCAGACTGTCATTCCCCATTTCCAGTGCACTCCCCACCTAAACAGGCAAGTGTGTAAGTTGCTATCCTAAGTTACTATACTCCTTAGAACCCATCAGTGGTACCCATTCCATCCAGGGTCAATGCCAAATGTACGACTTTGTGATATTTGGTAGCATCCATTCCCTTTCCCACAAGTACTTTTTGCTCCAGCAATACCATAATATTACCCGCCTTAAGTTAATGTGTTATAATACATCCTGTCTTAAATTCTCATAGTTAATTCCTCATTGACCTCGTTGTTCCTGCCTCTCATAATCTTCCCTGTCCTATTAGGGCTAAGCCTCTGACCTCTCTGCATAAACCTATCATAGCACTGAATACAATGTATTGTGATGATTAAAGGCAGTACCCACTTTGCACAATACCATGGTAACTGTTCTTGTTTCTTTCCCTCACCAGAATGTAAGCATTTCAAAGGAAGTAATCGTGCTTTTTTAATGATGATCCCAGTACCTAACACGTGTTGTTGTTGTTAGGTGCCATCCAGTCAGTTCTGACGCATAGTGACCCTATGTACAACAGAACAAAATACTGCCTGGTCCTGAGCCATCCTCACAATCGTTGCTATGTTTGAGCCCATTGTTGCAGCCACTGTGTCAATCCATCTCCTTGAGGGTCTTCCTCTTTTTCGCTGACCCTCTACTTTACCAAGCATCATGTCCTTCTCCAGGGACTGGTCCCTTATGATAACATGTCCAAAGTATGTGAGATGAAGTCTCACCATCCTCACTTCTAAGGAGCATTCTGGCTGTACTTCTTCCAAGACAGATTTGTTCATTCTTCTGGCAGTCCATGGTACATTCAATATTCTTTGCCAACACCATAATTCAAAGGCATCAATTCTTCATTGGTTTTCCTTATTCATTGCCCAGCTTTCCCATGCATATGAGGTGATTTAAAATATCATGGCTTGGGTCAGGCACGCCTTAGACCTAAAAGTGACATCTTTGCTTTTTAACACTTCAAAGAGGCCTTTTGCGGCACATTTGCCTAATGCGATACATCATTTCATTTCTCAACTGCTACTTCCATGAGTGTTGATTGTGGATCCAAGTAAAATGAAATCCTTGACAACTTCAGTCTTTTCTCCATTTACCAGATGTTGCTTATTGGACCGGTTATGAGGATTTTTGTTTTCTTTATGTTGAGGTGTAATCCATACTGAAGGCTGCAGTCTTTGATCTTCATCAGTAAGTGCTTCAAGTGCTCTTCGCTTTAAGCAAGCAGGGTTGTGTCATCTGCATATCACAGGTTGCCAATCCTAACGCCCTTTTCTTCTTCATATTGTCCAGTTTCTCAGATTATTTGTTCAGCACACAGACTGAATAAGTATGGTGAAAGGATACAACCCTGATGTATATCTTTCCTGGTTTTAATTCATGCAGTATCCCTTTGTTCTTTTCAAACGACTGTCTTATGGTCAATGTACAAGTTCTGCATGAGCATAATTAAGTGTTCTGGAATTCTCATTCTTAGCAATGTTATCCATAATTTGTTATTATCCACACAGTCGAATGCCTTTGCATAGTCAATGAAACATAGGTAAACATCCTTCTGGTATTCTCTGCTTTCAGTGAAGGTCCATCTGACATTATTAATGCTATCCCCCGTTCCAGGTCCTCTTCTGAATCTGGCTTGAACTTCTGGCAGTTCTGAGAAATTCATATTGAATGCATAATGATCTAATAAAGAACAAACGTAATGAATAAGTGGATTATTTTTCTTGTTCCCTTTCCCTGGAAAAGACACAGTATCGGACTATGGGTTTAAGGACCAAGAGGATTGTTAGATTCCCAATCCTGATAGTCGAAAATGCTCAATACCTAGATTTAAAAATTCATTGTGGTTGTTAGTTTATGCCTTTATGATCAGTTAGAGAAATCCTTTTTCACTGTAATCACTCTATCATAAGAATACGCTCCAGATGCATAATTGATGCATAATTTTAGTGCACCAGGAATGGTTTTGTGGTAATAACTTGTCCATGCTCACTCAGGGTTATTTCTATTCCATAGGAATTTTATATATACATATATATGTGTGTGTTTGTGTGTATATATATATATGCATATATATGTATATAAATACTATATATATATATATATATATATCTCAGAAGTAAGACTGGGCAGGTAAGTTAGCTATGTAAGTGGGAAGCACTAGATTATATAAGAGCTCAGAAGACAATCCAAAACCACCTATTGTTGTCAAGTTGAATTCCTACTCATAGTGGCCCTGTACAACAGAGTAAAACTGCCCCATAGGAGCCCTGGTAGCACAGTGGTTAAAAGCTAAGGAGAGATGCAGCTACTGACCAAAAGGTCAGCAGTTTGAATCCACCAGCCGCTCCTATGGGGGCAGTTCTGTTCTGTCCTATACGGTTGCTATGAGTCGGAATCAACTTGACAGCTAAGAGGTATAGGGTTTCCAAGGCTGTAAATCTTTATGGAAGCAGATTGCCACATCTTTCACTCCCAGAGCTGCTGGTGGGTTCAAACCACAGATCTCTCAGTTAGCAGTCAAGCAGTTAACCAGAAGATAATACCTAGTTCAAATTCCAACTCTGCCACTTACAATTAAAGTAACATTGGGCAAGCTGCTTAATCTTCTTGATCTAGAAAATGAGGACAACTGAGTCTTAATCTTTAAAATCCTTTTATCTTTTTAAATCCCAATTTTTCTATCTTCAGAATGGAATAAAATGGCATTTATCACATAGAAGTGTAATAAGCATTAATAAGATAATAAGCATAAAAGACTTAGTAGAATACCTGGAACATAGTAGACAGTTCAATTAACATTAACTGTTTTATTATTTATACAGTGTGATTTGTTGGACATGGCCAACTTTGTCTCACTACCACCAGTGACAGCTCCTGAACTTCCACTGGAAATTTCCTCTTTTAGTTCTTAAAGGCTTTTTCCCCCTCCTGGTTGCCATTTATGATACAAATACCTCTGGGGATGTTAACAACCTTGTACTTGTATTGTGATGCAGTCTAATTTCAGGATAGTTCAAGCTCCCTGACGGTATACCTGGGTGAGAATAAAACACAAGATAATTATAAAAGAGAATTTTACATAATAGTTGGATTCGACTAGAAATTGCTCCACTGAACCACATGTATATGCAAGGGAAGAATAATATTCTCAATCATTTTCTGCCAATATAATAACAACAAAACACACACACATATAAATATATGTGTATATGTATATATATATATATATATATATATATACACTTGTAAGTACTTAAATGTACATATATTACTTGGTTAATCTACACTGTGTGACTGGCACATTTATCAAGACATCAAAGTAGTTACCTCATTGAAGCTTATCAGACTACAGTAAAATATTGGAAATGTACTATTTTTGTGTGGGGAGTATGGAAGGAAAGGAGAGGGAAACAATATTTTATGGTGAAGAGATCTTAGAGCCACAAGGCAGCCAGAACTTCCGCCTGCTGTGCCATTGCAGCAGGACCACAGCTTCAAAGTTGTGCAACACCTTTAATAAACACTTCCTTAAAGCAGAGACAAGCATGAACCCAGGAGTTTCACGCTGCCTCACTTGAGAAGAGGCAGGGACAGACCCAGCAGCACAGGTTTGTTTGAGCGAGTAGGACAGACACTGTACTCCTGGGACCACTCAGCATGCTGCAAGGGCTTCTTTTTACCACCGCTTTCCTCCTTTCTCCAGTTCCAGGTGGGTGCTCAACTCCTTTTCACATTCCCTTAGGCACAAGTTTGGTAAGAGCTGCCTGCTTTTCATCTTCTGCCAGTAGTTTTATTTTGTAGATGATTTTAATGTGCAGGGCTGCACTGGTTGGGCTTTTCAAACCAATTTTACTAGCCAGGTGGGGCTGATTTAAATCTGTTGCTTTGGGGGTTGTAACTGATATAAGGGCTCAAGGTAAAGGAGAAACAAAGGAAGGTCTTTAACCGATATTTACATGTGTATTCAGAGAATGTATAGAAATAAAAGGGAAGCTTTCATATAGCATAAATTCAAACAGCTAAGGTCATCTTTGAGTTAAAAAGTGGAATTAGTCAAAATCCACCTTGTCGTTTATAGAGCAGTAACGATGCAGCTGATTTGACTGGTTCTAGCTATGTAAAAGGGTCTTAGGAAATATTTGCCATCATTATTCGGTCCAGGTTGGCTGGTTCTCTTGCCTTTTGAGTGAACATTTTCACATTTAATGCTTTCATTACTAGTGATAAGTAACGTGACTAATTGCAAGTACACAGTTGACCAATTGTTTTGATACTGCTTAACCAAAAATAATTTTGCTATTAAGTTGCTAATGTACTTCCACTTTGCTGGTTATACCAACTATTTAAAATTTCAAGAGCACGGGAATACTACTGCCTAATGATAAACCATGCCTAGCATGTCTCTTCATTTCTGGGAAACTCTCAAATGAGCTTCAGATTAAATTAGATTGGGTAATGTATTTCCTTTGCTTATTTCTGTTTCTACAGTTTATTTACGTCAGCGCATTTGCTGCACTGATTGGAAATCCTTCCCCGGCCAACCTTCTCTTGGGTTTTAGAATTCTTACAGGGGAATGTAAACAGTTTATCAACAAGAAATATATGGATAAGGGTGGGAAAGATTCTCCTCCCCCATACACCCACTATTTCCTCACAAAAACATGATTTTTCCCTGCCCCTGGTTTCTGATTTGTTTTCCAAACTTGTAAACGTTTTATTTAATATTTTTTTGAATCAAATTTAATAGAAACATTTTTCTGTATCCTCCAGAAATGCTATCAGCAAATACTCTGAGGGACCCCTCTTGTAGCTGAAACATAAGAATTGTTGGGCATTACCTTTGTCCAAAAGCTGAAATATTAAACTGGATCCATTAACAGAATCACACGGCTAACACTGGTGTCCACCCATGTTACACCTTTTTCAGTAAAATTAAACACACACACCAACAATTCTGCTCCTTATGACTGCACAGTCATAATATGGTACTTAAAACAAAAAAAAAAAAAAGTTGCCGTCCAGTCAATTCTGACTCATAGTGACCCTGTAGGACAGAGTAGAACTGCCCCATAGGGTTTCCAAGGAGTGCCTGGTGGATTTGAACTGCAAACCTTTTGATTAGCAGCTGAACTCTTAACCACTGTGCCACCAGGGCTCCAATATGGTACTAAGAACCACTGAAAGAATGACATCCCCCTAAGTACTCAGTGTGGGGATGGAGGTCCTGAAGTTGCTCTTGTGAGCGGGTGGGACAGATAGAAAGCTGCCCTCTCCCTTACCATGCATCTTATATTTTCAAGGGTGGATCCCTGGGCACTGAAACACCCCTGTTACTATTTCCATTTGGATTATTTCCCTGCCAGAAAGTAAAACATAAAGCAATCTTCCTTTTCTCCCTTTTTGGTTTTTCTGCTGCCATCATTAAAACAATAAATATGTACCCCTCTGGTCATGACTTTTACCCAGCTCCCATATACTTGAAACGAAAAACTGTGCTAAAATAAGGCCAGCTGTTTGTAATGAGCTTCACAATCCCCTGAGAAAAGTGACCCATGGGATTTCATTATAGGAGAAGGAAAAAAAAAAAAAAAAACCCAACAAATTTTTGTAAAGCATGTAAGAGGTGTTGGGGGGTGAGGAAGTAAGCGCACTGACAAAAAGAGAAAGGTCTTTATTATATTCCAGAAGAATATTCAGAGAGTACAGTGCTTTCACACATTATTTCCTTTCAAATTAACAGCTTTCTTGCCTTCATAAAGTGACTAGAAGACTCAAAAGAATAAATACAATTTAACATTAACAGCCATAAGAATAGGCTTGATTAGGATGCATTTTCTTCTTCAATGTTTTTTTAATTCGTGAAGTCTAAAATTACAAGATAATTTGAGGGAGGTTGTAGAGAAGCCAAGCACTTAAGTCAATGTCATTGAATAAACTCTGATTCAGGACTTAAGGTCATGTCTTCAAGTTAGGAAAGAAATTGTTTTAAACAATTTTGAACAGATATAAACAAAAAATGAAAATGTCCATAGTATGTATAAATATTCTAAACTCCAAAATGGACCCAAACCATTTTAAAAAAACAAATTAACAGTCCAGACTAATGTCTTGTTAATGAGCTTTAGCGTCTCTAAAACTAATGAACAGTAAAAATAATGATCTAACCCAAACCAAAATAATAGTGTTCTTTTTCTTGAACCTGTTTTGCTGGTCAAAACTAATACAACATGTGAGTTCTGTGGGAGATCTTATGAGGGAGAGAAAGCAAGTATTAAAATGAATTAGAGGAAACATATTGTGTTACACCTTGGATTCATGTAATCCCTGGATGGCAGTTAGCTGTGTTTGTTCCACAGGCTTTGAAATAATTAACCTAATGTTATTCAGCTGGGAGGAGGCTAAACTGCCATCAGACTTAAGGATGAATGAGCCAAACAATATTTAGCTCTGTGATTTGTCATATCTCAGATGTCGTTGTTTCAGGGGCCTTCTTGATTTCAGAAAAAAATAAGGGCCTGGGAAATTCTATCTGTTTTCTTTAGAAAATGCCATGTGTTGCAAGAGTTTGGGAAGAGCTAGAAATCTGTTCACTTCCAGCTGAAGAGAGTGAGAGTTTGACAAAAGCTTTCAAAATAAATATTTTGTTCTGTTGTTGTTACCATTAGGAGGTTCTCGGCTATCAAACAATTCATTAATTGGAAATAAATTTTTCAACTAGTTTATATATTTTGATTCCGTATTCAAGAGCCAGTTGATGATCTCTGATTTCATGAAACACTGGGATTCAAATACAAGCTAGAAACGTGGAGATCAGTGTGTGTTATCAGAGACAACTTGTGTTGGATGGATAGGTCTGTTCCCTGCCCATCCCTTCTGAATGTGGAGTGTGTATGTTATCACTTTCAGCTTTTAGAAAAAGAATCAGTGAGGCAGTTATTGTTTTATGACTTGAAGGCAACTTCGGCTAATATTTTCTGTCAGCATCATGTGCGTTATGGATGAAAGCCACTAATAAAAGAGGGGTTTTAAAAAAGCATTTTTAAAAAAGTTACACTGGCTGCAACACTGTTAGATATATGAGTTCAAGAACTCCATACTTAACAGGACTAATTGCACTGACTGATCGCAATACACCAGGCAGCATGTTGGTGCCCTGTGGTATGTTTGTTTTGTGTCATAGGGCTATGGGAGGCAGCAGGGAACTGTGTCAATGCATCAGTTACTTTTTGGCCACAGTAATTTTCTTACCTCTTCCTTATTGTTTTGAAATAATGATGATGACTATGATAGTTTTAACTCAATGAAAAAAATGATCAATTTATTGTATCATTAGGCTTTTGAAGTTCTGTTGTTTTTTTATAACTAAAGTTATTCATTTTCTTTATCAAAATTAATTAAATAGAAGTAAAAGATGCCCAGTGATTACCTCAATGGCAGCAAGAAGTGAGCAGCTGAGGGATTTGTGGGTTCAGTTCTTGAGATGTGACTCTACAGTTGTTGTTAGTTGCTGTCCAGTTGGCTCTGACTCATGGTGACAGTTATGTACAGCAGAATGAAATGGTGCTCCAGCCCATACAATAATGAGGCTTACTTAATACAGCTGACTAGACCTTAACTATTCAAATGTTGTCACCCCTTCAAATAGCTTACAGGGGCTTTTGTATTTATTTTCATAATTGCAGACTACTTGAATTGGCTTTACCAAAACCAGTTGCTACCGAGTTGATTCCAACTCATGGCCACCCCATGTGTGTCATGATAAAACTGCTCAACAGGGTTTTCAATGGCTGATTTTTTAGAAGTAGATTGACAGGTCTTTCCTCTAAGGTCCTTCCGGGGGTGGGCTTGAACCTCTAACCTTTAGGTTAGCAGTCAAGTGTGTTAATCAGTTGTACCACCCAGGCACTCCTGAACTGGCTCCAAAGACTATTTCATCTTCCCCCTCTTTTTTAACAATTAGCCCAAATCAAACCTAAAATTACAGCACTCCAGTATTGGTACTATGGCTTTAAGTGTTTTCGAAATGTTTCTGTAGAGTAAATCTCAAGTCACCAAAGGAAAAGCTGTTTCATGACTTTACCACCTCATTTTTGACCCAGAGTTATTAGCCAATTTAATCACTTTTTTCTATTTTTCAGTTATATGTAAATGGATTTTGACTGGTGAAATGAATTAAAGCCATTCTAAAATAATAAGAAGTTGACATGACTAGGAAATTTTGCAAGTTTCTGCTTTATTTCCTGAAGAAAATTAAAAAAAGAAAAAATTTGTTCTCTGAGACATCATTGGGATAAGTGTTCTGTCTTCCAAGATTACTGACTAATAATACTCATTTGAGTGTCTCAGTTATGTTTGTTAACCACAGTAACATAAATTTATATTACCATATAATTTAGGTTTGAGGGTTTTCATGAGCTAGCACTGCCTTTAGAAACCCTCCTACTCATTGCTCAGAGAAGAGAACTAAAGCCTTTCCAAAGTCACCACATTAGTAACTTGTTGGGCTGGGGCAGCACTTGGCTGTCTGGTTTCTACTCCAGTCTACCACCTTCAGCAGCCAAAAGCAGATCAGTTGACTTTCCCCTGGCACTACACTCTGCAGAGCAGGACTAGGTCACGAGGGCAAATAAGTAAAAAAATAAAATAAAACAGTGTTGGCTTCCCCCCCACCTTTTTTTTTTTTAATTGTACTTTAGATGAGGGTTTACA